TTGAAGTATACAAAGACAATTTTAGACGATTGCCAAGCATTACATTTATTCATTTCTGTTGAATGTTGATTTTTTCAAAAATAAATCTTTCAGTCACACACGCACGCACGCACGCACTCTTTGTCCCAAAGGAGTTTGCAATTGCTTTTGGTGACGGTGCATCTTGCGACAGGTCCGGCGAGAGCGCAGTCACGCTTCGCTTATCGTTTCGCGGGGCGATGCAATACACCCAACACGGATACGCGATATTGTGTTCAATGCCACTGGCCTATCTGGAATACGATCCAAATGCCAAGAGAGAAGACGTGTGAGAATCTCTCGCGCCGCGAGATCGATTACGGCGGGGATACGTACCCCTCCCAGTATTCGACGACAGGAAACCGCTTTATCATTTCGCGCGACGACGATGGAGCGTGTGTGTCGCGCGAGGAAAAAAAGTCGCACGCGTATTATACACTTTACATAGAGACACGACGTGTATCGTGTACGCGACGTCTGGCGCAAATATTTAATTTTCTCCGCGAAGATTAATTTACGCCGCGCGCTTGAATATTTTCCTCTCTCTAGTTATTATACCGAGGAAAATGCCACACCGCAAATGGGATTTAAATAAAAGCGCAATCTCTTCGGCGTGTCACCTGATTTTATTTCGCTTTTATCGCGCATTTATGAGCCGCGCGCGCGTGCGCGCTCTTTGTATCGGGTGATATCCGTTTTACAAAAATTTATATACCTGTGCTTTGTTAATATCACATAAAAATTATTCGCGTAATATCGTGAACACAAGCGAGAGAGAGAAAGAGAGAGCACGTTTTTCATAAAATAGAAATAATCGACGTGTTTCCTTGAGATTCTTTTCTTCTCCCCCGCGTTTCTTCGAGCAATAATAATCTTTGCGACGAAAATCTCGCTCTTGCTTTCTTGCGAAAATGTGCCGGGCTGATTGGGGAAACGCGCGCTCTTACTTTCCGTCAGGTTTGTTTCACTCACCCCGTTTTTTCATCCACCCCCTTTCCGTCGGAATTCGAGGGGTATATCTCATTACGAATACCAGTCGTCGTTCGGGTATATCCTCGTTCGTTGATATTCGTTCGTGTGTTTCCGATCAAATAAACTTTTTTTCGTTTCAACAAAAATTTTCTCCCCGTGATTACAAGTCGAGAGATCGACATATCGCGTATTGATTATCATCAGTTCCTTTTCGCCCCCTTTTTTGACACCGCGATCTTTCTCTTTTCCCCGGCACCTGCATAGCTTTGTTCGTCGAACGACAGGCGGACAGGCAGGCAGGCTCTTCGCGTTTCTATTAGCCACCCTTCGAGCTCTCTCGAAACCATCCCTTCCCCTCTCGTCCGCTCGAGCAGTCTGAGCACTCATCCCCTCCTTCTCTTTCCCTCTCTCTCGCCAACCCCGAGCGATTTCGCGCTCCTTTATTCAGTCCTCATTGTTCTTCGTCCTCCAGCGTCGCAGCCACCTTGCACCTTAAAGGTGCACCGTCGCTCGCGGTAGTCGGTAACAACACTTCTTCGCGAATTTCCTTTTAACGTGATGCGCGCGGATCATCGGCGAATATCTCTCTCGAGGGGACAAAAGATTGATGCCGATAAAACGTCGCTTTCCGACACTCAACTTTTTCCTGTTTCTTCGCGCTCCAGTCTGATATCTTATTTCTTTTTCTTGAGGGAGAGAAAAAAAAAGATAAATCTTCGTTTCTAATGTTTTCGAGTGCGACAATACAAATCCGATGGAGGAGCGGCGAGAGAAATCGGCTTCGTCACATGGAAAATAAAAAAAAACTTCGTGGTGGCGCGATATTGACGAAAATTGTAAATTAAAATATCCACGACGAAGGTAAGGAGCGCGTCGAGGGAGACAAAAAGGATACCTCTCTCCCTCTCTATCTCGTTGTATCCTTTTCTTACGATGCCTTAATCCTCGGGTCTTCCCCTCTGGCTCCCTTCCGTCGTTTCTCTCTCACCGTATCTCTTTCGGTCTCATCGCTCGGGAGAATCAATCCTTCCGCACGCGCTTTGGAAACACTCGCCCGCAACTTCTTTCAAGCGCGAGACCTCAGAGAAAGGGGGATCGAACACAAAGTGAAATATTTTATATACTCGCGCGGGAAACGACTCGACTTCGGAAGAAATTTGGAAGTTTTCTCGATGCAGAGAGAGAAATTACGTTACGCATTATTTAAAAGTCGAAACCCGATTTTTCCCGACCCACATTTTTTCCTCCTCTTGATATTGTTATTTGGATAGGCGTGCACAATCGCGCGGAAGAACGCGACGAGTTCGTTAAATAAATAAATCTGAAATTAAATCTAGACGCGCGCGCGCGAGAAGTAAATAAAGATAACAACGTGTCGATAAAGCTTATATACGCCCGCACGAAAACGTCATAAAGACTTTCGCCTATAAATTCTCCGGCACACCCGGACCGAAGTGTGTACGTGCACGTATACGCGCCACACCGATATAAAGGAGCGAGATATAAACGCGCCCCCCGACGCAACTCTTCGGTAAGCATAATCGATACATCGCCTACTACAGGTTGTTTCAGGAGTTGCGAGAGAGAAGCGATAACTCCCTTGAAAATGGAACTTAATTCCGATGACGCCGCGCGACGGACGGAAAATTTAATTCGACAGACTTGCGTGTCATCGCATCGTAATTTGTTTTTTTCTTTTTTTGTTTCTTTGTACGAAGCGCTGTTGCTCCGCACACGAGAGAGAAAGAGACTTTCGATTTCGTCGTGAATCTACATGGAACGTCGCGCACGTATTTTTCTATCGAAGCCGCCGCCGAGAGAACGTCGCCGTCGCGGCGCCGATGATTTACATGGCAATAAACTAACGCCCTGGGTGCGGGCGCTCCGAAAAACGCGCGCTTGATTTATTCGCGCACTTTCTGCGCGAAGTATACTGGACTTCTGCCAGGCCGGAAGGTCCATCTCGCCGGAAATCACGATCATAATTCAGCGCGCCTATGAGGCGCGAGAGGGAGGAAGAGAATCCGTGAAAATTCTCTCGAGTGCCCGCTTCGCAAAATTTGCATAAAGGATGTCTGTTTTCGCGGAACACCGAAATCTTGTCTTCCTCTCTCTCTCTCTCGCGGTCTTCGTTTCCGCTAATTCACGAAATATATCTTTTTTTTTTTTCACGACAGAGCTCGCAATTTGTTCGGTAATTGAAAACTCGCGAAATCGAATGCGACGTAATTGCGAGCGGTTTGATTTGCAATGTGTTATTATTTCTCGTGATGATTAAAGAGACGAGTATACCTGCGGCGGTTAATCGTCGAAATTAACGTTTATATATATATATATATATAGACGCGCGATACCGAATTCGCCCCGAAAGACGTATTAGACCGACGATGGTCGCGCGCGCGCGCGCACGGCGCTGTTCAGGAGTCAGTTCGGGTTTGATTACACGATATCCACCCTTCCGGCGAAACAGGCGTTTGCAATTTAACGGAAGCTCTGCATATAGAGTGGATTCTCGTCGCGCGCTGCGGGTTCGCACTTTAAATGACGTCCCGGAAGTCCCGACGTTAATTCTAAACGATTCACCGATATATACTATATCGTACAACGACGTCTTACGGTTGTATCCTTCTTCTTTCTTTTGATATTCAAAGAAAGATTGCCGCAAGAGGACGAACAAACACCCGGTGCTTATTTACATTTCATTATCATTTCATTATCGTTTCGCTACGTCGCGGTTATTCGTGTCAAGCAAAACGAAGCGGCGAGCATATCATCCGTTACGTCGGAGGGGAGAGAGAGATCTCGCGCGCAAAGACAATCTTGCATACCGATCTGCAACATTTTTACTTTGAGACCGCGAGGAGAGAACGACCGCGCGTCACGAAAGCGCGTTCCTTCCTTCACGCAGCTTCGATTAATTATTCGAGACGCGCGATACACGTTCCAAGAAACAAAGTAACAACGTAATTCTCCGTGCGATAGCCGATTCTCTCGATTTCTTTTGTTCGCGCGGATTTCGAAGTCAAAAAGAAGCGTGCTTGAAAAAAGTTATTCTCGTGCGCGAACAGTCGGCGGTAAACAATGGTCTCTCGCGTTTCCACACTACGTCACCGACGACGACGACGACTACGACGACGACGGTGGCCGACGATGGGGTGGTGGACGTGGTCGAGAAGGGTGGAATTGCGGCTACGTGCCTCGGCATACGAATCCGTTCACGTGCGCGCGAATTGCCGAAGGGTCCTCCTCCATGCTGTTTCCTGGCGTTGCTTTGAATCTAACTGATCGCGTCCAATACTTACGTAGACAAATTGCGACCAACAGCCCCGCGAAGACCGAGGGGAGTGAAGGGAACTGTTTTCGCTCATTATCATTCCGTCTTGGTTCTAATAACCATCGATGATAAATTAGAGTCTAACATTTTCAAAGAATTAATCTTGAAATTAATCAAAGATTAATTAATTTAAATATTGAAACTTGAAATTTACGATATTTTAATCGCTATCTGAACTGTTTGAACACACAATCTACTAAAGTGCAATAATATTAATTCAAATCAACAAATTGACGTATCTCGCAGTAAGTTTTCACGAACGAAACGCGCGTTGCACAAGAAGATAAAAGTCGACCGGATTTGGACGAGTTTCTCGCTTTCGGCCGAATTCGCGCTATCTTTTTTCCTTTCCCTGCGCGCCTCGTGGTAATCTCCGCGTACGCACGGACGAGAGTGTGTGATCTCTCCGATCTTGAAGTTTAAGCTTCTGTTAAGGCAGCTTAAAACTCCCGGAGTAACGGGAATTACGTCGGGGATATCACGTCGCCGAAAGTTACGAACGGACTTCGGAGATTGGCGTCGTTTCCCTTTCCCCTTTTTACCCGACGGCACGACAAGTTAATTGGAAATCGGTGTAATCGCGCGCCCGATCGATACGCGCGCGGTAATGTCCGCGCGATGAATAACATTATTTTAAAACTTGTTTTGAATTTACGTTCTTTTCTTCTTGTTGCAGGAGAGTCTGGAGGAGCGAGTGCAAGAACTCGAGCAAGCGTTGCTGGCGGAACGCATCGCGGCTCAACGAGATCGAGCGACGATCACGAAGCTACAGCGGCAAATCAACAAAGTTAGTACACATCCAAACTTTTTCAAAACTATTCCGCCGAAAGACAAAATATCCAAAGAGAACGTCGTAACAAGAAGTATCGACACTTCGCGCGACAGCTTGCGTCGCATTTCGCGTCACTTCCTTTTATTTACGCATTTCGCGTTGAGAATCTCCCACTGTCTCTCTCGTTGAATTTGAGTTCTTTATTCAATCTGCGAGATGAAAAGATCGCGCTCCCGCGCGTAATATTTCGTAGATCTATCTGTGCTGCATTTTAATTCATCCGGCAGACGGACAGAGAGAAAGAGAGAGAGAGAACATCTCGAGCCGCTCTCTCGTTGTAGTAGGATAAACCTCCTAAATAGAATGAGAATGATAGGCACGTAGCGTGCTTCTGACGCGCCCTTTTCCCGTTGTCCCTTTTTGCGAGCCTATATAAAATATCATGACAAAAACAAACGCGCGGAACGAACGGGAGGGTAACGAAACTCTCTCCCTCTCTCTCTCTCTCTCTCTCTCTGAGATTGATTTATCTTCACTCTGAACCTGCAGTTCTAACCGACGCTATATCCATAGTTAATGCTGATATCCGAAATGTTGTAAGCTGGACATCTCAGAATGGATTGAAGTTAAATGAAGACAAAACCACAGTTATGATTATTGGAACAGCAAGATTCATTCGAGGTATTGATCTACCTTCTATGTCGCAAATTACAGTCAATAATGTTAATATTCCCTACAAGAGATCTGCCACATATCTAGGTGTAACCTTGACCGACACGCTATCATGAGACATTCATGTATCCAAAATCATCTCGAGCATAAATGCCTCGCTGCATCGGTTAAAGATCTACAAACATCTTTTCTCGCCTGCACTTCGAGCAAGACTGGTCACGTCACTTATCTCTTCATTTCTGGACTATTGCTGTACACTTATGACGGATATAACTGAGGAGGATAATCTACGACTGCAAAGAGCATACAATAGATGTATTAGATTCATATTTCAAATTAAATGGTTTGAGCATGTCACACCGTCTTATGAAAAATTAAAATGGCTCAAAATAAAATCTCGGAGGATGTACTGCATCGGCTGTCTGCTTTATAAATTTTTAGAATCACAGCGACCAAAGATTTTATATAATAAATACGAATTTAGGCACTCAGTTGTGCAGCGTGGGACTCGTGCTGAGGAGAATAACCTCATTCTCCCTCTATGCCGCACTGAACTATTCAGACGGTCTTTCAGATGTGTCTCAGTAGATCTATGGAATAGTATTCCAGTGGATATCCGCAATTTACCTTTCTTTGAATTTAAAAAGAAATTACATGGGTTGCTTTTAGCGGGCAATGTATAATTTGTTCAAATTGCGTTCAATTTTTATTTGCATGTATTCCTTTCTTTTGTTTTTGTAATTCTCATTCAGTTTTACTGATTACTTATATTTTATTTCTATTTTTATTTTATTATTTTGTTTTTTTATGTTACTCACTTATTATTTTTTCTTCAAGAGGATTCATTTATTAATTCTTGTTATCTATAGAATTGTTAGATTGTTATATTGCGCTTAAGGGAAAATTTTTCCCGGAGCGCGTTATAAATAAAGCAACTATCTATCTATTTATCTATCTATCTATCTATTTATCTATCTATCTATCTATCTATTTCTCTCTCTCTCTCTCTCTCTCTCTCTCTCTCTCTCTTTCTCTCTCTCTCTCTCTTCGTCAATTTACCGTCGTAATCGCGCGTGTTGTGATTTACACGCGCAATTTTTGCGAACGAGTGTTCGAAATTATTACTTGTTACGCGTCATCTCATCTTTCATTAACTTTTTCCGAAATTATTCCCCTCCTCCTCCCGTTATTGCGGGGGGAGGAAGAGAACGAGAATCTCTCTTTTCTCACGGGAAGCGCAACAGCCTAATTATTCGGGCGCGAGTAAATATACAGGTAAATCCCCAGGAGGGATATATACCCGTTGTGTCACAGCGCGTTTCGAATCCGCTTAATACTTTTCCAGTCACGAACCCGTTGGCTCGCGGAAGCCGCGCGATAAATTTCAACCGCGCCGCACGGATTAAATCCACTTAATTTTGGTCGAAAATTTAAGCGCGACGATACGGGAATTAGGCAAATCAGTCGACGTTGATCGCGCGAAATCCCGAGTATCTATACGTGCTCTCGAGTCGAGCGAACCGGTCGAACCACTTGGCTTCTTATTAGCTGTTGGAGTCGTCGTCGTGGTTAGCTTTTTTGTTTTTATCCGATCGCTTATCGCGCGCTGGTTTTTCACTAATTTAGATGATGGATCTCCGGATGATGGAGCGTTAAGATTAAAAAGAGCAGCAATTTTATTTTTTTTAAGAAAGAGACACCCGATGTCTGCCATGGCTTCATAAGATTATCTGCTGTATTGATCCGGACGAGATATTGTATATTTATAAAAGTACTTTTCCCCCCTTCTTCTCCGAGAAGAAAAAATCTAATTCGCACAATCCGGAAAATATGTCCGCAAAATATACGTGTGAACATCGGTAGACTCGTGGAAGCAGAAAAGACGAGGGGGAGTGCAGGGGGTTCCCCGGGATTCGACGGAGTGATGCGCGGTCTCCTTCTTCTCCCCCTCCCCCTCCCGCCACCTCGAGTAAATTACATTCTCAGCAAGCCGTATCGGATTATCCTCGCGCCGAGGCGAGGATTCGTCTAGACCGTAGGAACTTCGCCATAACGCTGTTCTCTGGATGTGTGCGGGGATATATAGGAAAGTTTAAAATCTCTCGCTCGCTCGTCGAGAAACAAGATGGCGCGAGGGAAAGAGTTTCAAGTCCGCGCCACACAACGCATTTTCACCGGTGCCGGATGATATCGAGAGAGTGAGTTATTCTATATGGAGGCAATCTCGCATCTATTCTCATGAGAACCGATGAAATTTCACACACACATGTGTTCCGGTACGCGACAGACGACTCGACGTACGAGAGGACAACGCTGTCGTTTTTGCGAACTTTTTCGACGCGATTTCCTCACCGCTCGACGGAAGAACTCCCGACGTTTCTCTGGTTAGGCAAATTAAATGGCGCGTGAAAAAACGCGTTTAAGCGCGAATGCAAGTGAATGGGATTTTTTTTTTTTTTACGCGAGAGGATACGCGCGAATGACAAAACCGCAGCGAATGCTGCAACGCTGGCGTTCTTTTGTCAATCAGAATTTTCAAGCGTTCTCACATTGTGCAAATCCTCTCTTATGTCGTAAAAAGCACAGCGAGAGAATTCACGGGTTCGGAGGACCAACAACAAAAGGAATCTCTGTAAACGATCCTGTCTCTCGACGACGAACGTCGTCGTTGTCGTTGTCAACGACAGGCAGGAGAGCGCGCGCGCGCGCGCGATGCGCTTCACGTAGGAAATGCGATTCTAAGACGCCGCGGCATGCAAAAGAGCGCAATAAGCAGGCAATAACCGAGAGACCTTTTATTCCCCCTCCCCTTTCCTCTCTTTCTTTCTCTTCCCCCGAGGCATGACAGCGCGCAACGTTACCCACGTTCTCTCGCCCAGACAAAGGGAGAGCTTTAAAAGTTATGCGCGCGAATGCATTCCGCGTCTGGCCTCGGAGAGAAATTGCATTGTGTCATTTTATGTGCGATTAAATCCAATATTTTATTTCACGTGGAAGAGAAAGAGAGAGACAGAGACGCGAAACTTGAAGAGAAAAAATAAATTACACGGCCTGTAACGGTTACATAGATTTATTGTTGTTGAAGTTTCGCGACGCGTGCGACGAGAAAAAAAAAACATCGCTGGCGACTTCCTCGAGGTTTTTGTTCTAAAATAATTTTGTTATAACAATCTTATTACATGCCAATAGACACGATGAAAAATGTTCAATTTGCAACGACAAAAGGCTCAAAACATTGATTTAAAAAAAAAAAAAAATCAATTATCGCAACGACGCGTGCGAATCGAAAGAACGATTTATTTGTTGATGTTCTCATCTCGACAAACTCTTCCTTTCGATGCGTGTTTGGCGAAGCGCGGACTTTTGCCGCGATTGGGAACAGCTCTTGAAAACTTTCTTGTCCTTTGTTGTGGCGCATTCTATTAAGGCAACTAATCGCGAGAAGGCGGGAGAGGGAAAGGGGAGAGAAGGAGTTGAAAGCGCAGCCGACGGAGAAGGGGTTGAGTTGTGTAAGACGAGCCGAGACGTCGTCGTCCGGCCGACTTATGCGCCAGCTTTTCTACTTGCGGCCCGACATGGCGCCGAACATCCAGACGTCGTTCTCTCTCTCTCTCTCGGTCGATATTATTACATCCGGTGCCAGAAATTCAGTCGCGCGAGGCCGCGTATATTATACGTTTCTTGCAATTAAATTGAACTGACTGCGCGTTAAACGATCGACGTTTTAAACGAACAAAGCGCGAAAACGGATTACGCGAAATGTACGTAAATATGCGAGCTTCTTTGACAAAAACTTGTCGAGAAGACAAAAGAGAAAAATTGTCAGCGTGTGAACACTGGCGCCGTTCATTGAAATAGAAACAAAGATGATTTTTGAGATCATCGCAATTGCAATCGCATTTCCTCGGGATTGTTGCGAAATTGAAACCTCGAACGAGGCTTCAGACTTTTTTGTCATTGTTGAAACTGATATTGATTGACAGCATCAAACTCTTTTTTTTTCCTCCCCTTTCCTCTCGTTCAAATGTAAAAATGTTTTATGTAGCGAGTATCGCGGCGCGGTTAAAACAAAAAAAAAGAAAAAAGTTTCCGTTGCAGCGTAATTTTATTGAATCCTCGTTTGTGACGGCCGCACCACTACACGACAACGCGGCGTGTGTAACGAAGTTTCAACAGAACTGACTCAATTGTCGATGCAGTTACGGACAGTAACACAACAGTGCGCAACGAAATTTGGCGGAGTTACAAAAGAATTTTTCGGATAAAAAAACAAAATGTTTCTAACTTTATCAATAATCCTAACTGTACTAAGCGCGCGCGCGTGGTGTTTTCTCAGATTGTTT